GATTATTTTGGATTGATTCATTTGTTGTCGCTGACAATGAATAATTGTGTTATGTTTCAACTAGATCCGAGAATGGGAAGTGGGAGAAATAATGTGCACATGATTCCGACGAGACAGAGTGAGTTGACATAAGCTTTGTAAAAAACAAAACAAAAAAAAAAAACAACAAACAAACAAAATATTTTGTCTATGAGAACAGTAAAAGTAGATGTGTAACGAATATATAGCCTGACCAGAACGGAGGACTACGTCTTGCAAGTTCACGAGCGGACTGGCTATAAGGGCATTCGGGCAAAATGTGGGCCTGACCAGAGCGGGGGACTACGTCTTGCAAATTTAGTAAGAAGATTGGCTTAAATTAGGGGCGGACTGGCTATATGGGCCTTCGGGCAAAAGGTGGGCCTGACCAGAGCGGGGGACTACGTCTTGCAAGTTTAGTAAGAAGATGGGCTTAAATCAGGAGCGGACTGACTATATGAGCATTCGGGCAAATGGAGGGCCGGTATATAAATGGGCCGGTAGGACCACAGTAATAATCTTTTTTGAAATCACGTCTGTACTTTATAAGATAAGGGCGGCATGGATGTCAGCAAGGCACGTATTCAATTGTTAAAGCTTTGACAGAATTCTCTTACAAATGGGTCCCTCTGAGCGAGGTATCTATTATATTCACTGTATCACAGCTATCGATACATTATCAAACTTAACAGAATTGGATGCCCATCGTATAATATACAATTTATGGGCTGGATGAAATAGAAATGCCCGGTCCGATTACGACACCCAGCCCGCCCCTGACTTAAATAATAAAGTGTTTTAGGCTAGTCAACCAAAGTACTAAATAAATCTCGATCTACTTTTAAAACCCCAGAATTCTGGGTATTTCTGGTTCCATTTGTTTGATCAACTTGTTACCTCTAAACTAAAAAAACCGTCCTGAGTTGTCTTTTTTCTCCCACGGTTTGTTGGCTTGTTTCATTAGCAAGCCCATGTGTGTTTGCCAAAGAAATTATTGGTGGTATCCCTTGGTAACGCGACTGGTTTTCAGCACCGGTCCGTATTGACTGCTGAAATGACTTGAAGGCCTGTCCATCTTTGTTGACTAAGAGAAAGTCTGTTCCCATCTTTAGAAGTAGGAAACAGCTAATAAGTCTATTCTATTGGATGGACTGTCCCAATGATTTGAGATCAGAAAGTATGAGAGAAAAAATTCCAAGAGCTTGACGTCGACATTTTTCAAGGTGCACACCGGACAGGTATTTCAAAAGCAAGTCTTGTATAATCTTCTTATCTTATAAGATGCAGACGTTACTTGAAATTAGTTCGATTTCATTTTTACTTTAAATATTAAATATTACGCGAATTGTTAAATAATGACCGATTTCTTGCTACGCAGGGGCCTACTGGCTATATGGGCAAAAAAATCCTTCACCCCCCCCCCCCCCCGGGGCTACACGTCAATGATATGGCATACCAATTTGTTGTCCAGTTTATATGGTAATGCCCGGGCCGATTTTGATACCCAGTCCGCCCCTGTTGCTACGCCACTGAATATTCGCATTATTCGCAACGTCTTATGTAGAAATCGTGAGCTGGGCTGTTAACAGAAGAATTTAGTTGTGCAGACCTGACTGGAAAGACTCTTTGCAATAGTGACGCATTTCAAGAAATAAATAGAAGAGAAACTCTAGACCTCCATCAGCTTTATGAAGGAGAAATTGAGTCCACCGTAACCCTAACCCTAATAATAATAACTGTCTCATAATTTAAGAAAAACTGAGATAGAAAAACAAAGAAAATATGGGAACCTAGGCGTGGAGATTAAGCGTCTATGGAAATTGTCCAAAATAACAATAAACCCCATTGTTATATCAACCGAGTAGATAATAACAACTGACCCCACAGACACCTTCAAGGCCCTTAAGATTCCTAGGAACATCCTCGTTGCCTGTCAGAGGGCGGTACTGCTGCAGACCTGCCACAACACCAGAAAATTCCCCAGTGGAAACTGTTAAAGGGACTACGATGAATTTTGTTTCTCTTTAGCGAAACTCGACCCTCGCAGCGCCAGAGAATGGCTACTCGTTCATTTCTAACATAATAATTATAATAATAATGATAGTTACTTGTTAATTTACAATCAGGCTGCAGGGATAGACGCATTGGCGGCCTTAAGCAAAGGCAAACTAGGCAGCCGCCTAGAGCCTCCGATTGGTAGGGGCCTCGCCACTTGAGAGGGGGCCTCAAAATTAGTGTTTTTTTACATCTAAAATTAAATATTACATAAAATGCAGGGGGGCCCCTGGAGAGGTCAAGCCCCCTCCCCAGGCCTCCAAACGATGGAAAATTCCTAGCTACGCCCCTGGGCCTCGAACATGACTTAAAAAAAATAACTTGTATGAAATCTCAAATATAGCAGAGCACTAGGGCTCTATGTCTACTAGGCTAACTCTAAGTCTGTACTATGAATGTAAGTTTCTTGACAAATGTTCAAATCTACCTGCTAGACTACTTATGCTAGTAAGACCCTTGTTTTGTTTTTAGGAATTGCGTAATTTTATTATTTCGTTGTTTAAATATTTTTTTTGCTATTTCATGTTGGGGTCCCAAATTCACTCTGCTTAAGGCTTTTAACTACGTGAGGCAGATCCTGTTAGACGCCCAGAGGAAGCTGGGAGCAGGGCCGGTCCGAACAATTGCGGTGCCCTATGAGAAACTGATTGCGCGGGGCCTAGTCTGGGTGGGAATAAGGGTAATAAGTGAAAATTAAGATTTTGTATTAGAAAAAAAAAATTAAATTCGACTTTGAATTTTATTTATTCCTTTCTAAGAACAAAATTGCGATCAAATTAACTTTACTTTACGAACCCTGCAACTTATGGCATATTTATATGTCAGTGACTATAAAAGTAAATAAAGGATTGTAACTTCCGATGAAGGTGTAAATTCGCCCGATTATTACATTTTATTACACGAAAGCTGGCAATGCCTTTTTTCTTTTATCGCGCGATGGATTGGCGTTTTCCGCAATGAGTGACACCAGCAAATGACAATTTTGACTATTTTTCAGGAGATTTTTATAAGTTTTCAGGAGATTTTAATAAATTCAGGAGATTTCCATGACTTTTTCGTACATATTCTGCAACTTAATAATTACACCTAGAATTAGCGCGGGGCCTATGAAAGCGCGGAGCCTACTGCGACCGCATAGGTAGCAGTGGCCTAAGACCGGCACTGGCTGGGAGGTTGCCTATGCTCCAGATGGGACCTCAAGCAGATATGAAATGTAGACCTGTTCAGCACGAGTGGTTAGAATGTCGGCTTTAGGAGGCTTGAGTCATGATCTCGAATACTGGTTGTTCACCTTTTTATTTTTATAAATGCTTTTAAAAAGCGATTACGATAACATTTACACAGATGTCCCTTTCATTCTCCCTTGTACCCCATTTTCCCTACTGGCCCAGGCAAGTGATAGGATCATAGAGTATTGAGAAAGCTAACAGCATGAAATTGCGCTAAACAAAAAACAATTGGTAAAATTATTTCTAATCGCGCAGTATTATTTTTTATTGGTCAAGATCTATTACAAATTTAATAACCTGATTAATCCAAACTAATGGATACATTTGGAGTCGCGGTGGCTGAGCGGTAAAGCGCTTGGCTTCTTAACCGGGGAACGGGATTCGAATCCTGGTGAAGACTGGGATTTTAAATTTCTGTATCTCCGGGCGCCTCTAAGTCCACCCAGCTCTAATGGGTACCTGTCATTAGTTGGGGAATAGTAAAGGCGGTTGGTCGTTGTGCTGGCCACATGACACCCTCGTTAACCGTCGGCCACAGAAACAGATGGCCTATACATCATCTGCCCGATAGATATTTTTTTTTCTAGTTTAATGTGTGTCCGTTGAGCAGAATACGGAAGCATTGATAAGAAAAACACTTTGATGAGCCATATTGTAAATTTCGTGCATTTGTTCTGCTATGAAGAATCGAATGTCTCTCTATATCGCATGAAGGACACAGTCCTGTCTGGCACACTGTTTGTACACGTTATTTATTTCACTCCCTTTCTCGGATCATGTTGAAACGTTACACCCATTATTTGTTGTACCTAACAAAGCATGAATCAGTAAAAATATTAAGCAATTAATTAATTAGTTACTGGTAATGAATTGTTTTGTTTGGTATCGAAAAAGGGAAATAACTGCTACTTATTGAGAGCTTTTGCTGCATATGTTAAGTTATTCTCCTTATTACAATTTGTATGTTTTTTTTTTCCAACTTCCGATTCTCAAATTGAAATTTTGCATAATTATAATGATGACAATTAATAAAAATAAAATTAACTATCATTTATGGATAATTAGTTAACTTTGTTTTATATAGTAAAGGGAGTTTATTCCTTCAGCATTAACATCTATGGCAGAGGTTTGGCCGTTCTTCCTCTCATATACGATTTTTTTTTCAAAAAAGATTTTAACAATATTCCGCATATTTAAAAATCTCTCTTAACTTTTCTGTTATCATTTTATTTACATTTCTCATAAGGTTGCATTTTGTCGCCTCCACCATTATTAATATCGCTTTTTCTTCTTTTACTATACTCATTGCTGAAGGGATATCAATGGCATGATAAAAGATGAAACTCCAAACAAAGAGCAGACTACTGTGACAAACTTTTAGTTTGAAGGGCCTCAACATAGTTTAAACTAACATGCTTTGTACCAGAGTTGTCCACCCTTTTCGGCCTTAAATCCACATAGATTCAGCCAAGAAAGATTTCCCTTTCTCTTTCTTTACTTTTCTTTCTTCCGATAGCTTATAGTCACGATTTGGGGAGTAGATATGGCAACATGTAAAATGTAAATTGATTTTTTTTTGCCAGATTTTTTTTTGCATTTTGATGCCCCATACAAAAGAAATTTTGTAACCAATTTTATTTTTGAATCTGATTGATACTTACTCTCAGAATAATAAACCTTTTAATTCAATAAAACGTAAAGAAAGAACAATTTTTTTTATTTGTAACTTGAAAACAAAGATATACATGAGGCGAGTGTTTTGTTTCGTTTTATTAATTCTATTTTTTGACAAAGTCTATCACGTGATCGCAAATTGCCAAAAATAGAGTGTCACTGTTTCAGATTAGATATCTCTGACAGAAGCCAACGTTTTGAATGCTTCGTTGGTTTCATCAATGTCTCCATTGAAGTTTCGCTTGTAAAAACTGCTTAGGTTGGAGGGTGCCCTCTTGTAGAAGTTACTCACGTCCGTGGGAGCTCGTTTGTAAAAGCTGCTGAGGTCAGACGGCACCCTCTTGTAGAAATTACTGAGGTCAGACGGCGCCCTCTTGTAGAAATTACTGAGGTCAGAAGGTGCCCTCTTATAGAAATTGCTGAGGTCAGAGGGTGCTCTCTTATAGAAATTGCTGATGCTGATATCAGATGGAGCCCTCTTATAGAAATTGCTGAGGTCGGAAGGCTCTCTTTTGTAGAAGTTGTCCAATTCAGACGACCCTCTCTTATAAAAATTTCTCATATCGGGCACGGATCTTTTATAGAAGTTACTCATTTTGGACAGTCCCCTTTTGTATAAGTTGCTTATTTCAGAAGGTTCTCTCTTGTAGAAATTACTTAAATCAGAAGGCGCCCTCTTGTAGAAATTGCTCAGATCAGACGGTGCCCTCTTGTAGAAATTGCTTAGATCATCTGGTGCCCTCTTGTAGAAATTACTCTCATCATAAGGCCCACGCTTGTAAAAGCCACTCAGATCCCCGGGAGTTCTCTTGTAAAAATTGCTCAGACCAGAAGGCGCCCTCTTGTAGAAACCACTGAGGTCATCGCTTGTGGCCCTCTTATAAAAAGCGCTATCGTCGTACGGTTCTCGCTTGTAAAAGCCGCTCAGGTCACCGTCGGGAGATCTTTTATAGAATGCGCTGTCCTCCTCACCAGGAGCTCTTTTGTAGAAGCCGCTGACGTCCTCGACACTTCTTTTCCAGACGTGATCTAGTTGACCTTGACCTTGCTCGGCGCCTTCATCGTCACTGTCTCTACGTTTATCGTTCGCTAAACAAAAAAGAAAAAAAACCCATATCTAAAGTTGCTTTACAAACAAACATAACTTAATTGATAAAAAAAAAGCATATCTAAGGTTACTTTACAAACAAACATAACTTAATTGATAAAAAAAAAACATATCTAAAGTTGCCTTTCAGGACAACATGACTTGACAGCTAAAAGTAAACAGGACAACATGACTTGACAGCTAAAAGTAAACAACCCATATCTAAAACTGCCTTACAAACATAACTTTATAGACAAAAACAAATTAAATATAAAAAATACTATAGACAATGATTACCGCATTTAAACCTGAAAAAGCCTTAAACTGTTTGAGATGTGGGGCCTTTGTGGGCGTTTTTTTTCTCCAAATTATTATGTATCTAAAGTATGTATTTAATTAATTTGTACAATATTTAATCCCCATTTATGATCTATTTAGTTTGATCATTAGATCAAGGGTGCCCTATTTGGATTTAGGGAGAAAAAGTAAAGATTTATAACAAATAAAATACATAATGTGTGTATAGTCTGTTTAGTACATTATTAGATTATAAAGTAGGGCTGGATACAAAAATATTTACATCAATTTTTTTTTTAAGCCATTACATGTTTTGCTTTGGTTTAGGCAAGGGAAGTAATCCGATTGGAACTATCTAAACTATCTTTCGCTTTCTAAGTTGGCACTATACGCCTGCCTGTTCACGTGACCTCATTTACATATAGGATCGAACTCGGGATCTTCAACTAGTTCTTACCGACGCACTTGTGGAACCAAGTCATAACCACTACATCTTGGTCGCTATCCGGTTTCGGGTTGCTGGTTTTTGATGTCTGACTGCGCGCTACTTTGAATCCGTGTCCACACTGGCACAGAACCTGATGGAAAGTAGAACAAGACCATTCTTTAACTCTTTCTCTCCTAATTAACGATACCATCGTTGATTTGACCCCTATTAAATTAAATTTAATTTTTTGGCTTATAAACGTGTATTTGTGTAATAGAAACAGAGCAAGCATTCTCCTATGACTCTATATCAAAAGTAAAACGTTTTCTGATTGCAAACAAAAATGTTATTGAAGTTAAATCCTAACAGGGTAGAATGTACACATGTAAAAAAATGAACCATTCTGTCAGAATGTGGACAAATAATTACGGAGGTAAAGAGTTAAGAAAAGATAAGATTGTTATAGTGTGTGTTTCCAAGGTGGTATAGAAAGGGAGGTGCAACGCGGAACGGAAACGCTTTAAAGACCAGCTTAGGCGCCTAATTGCCTAAGCTGACATAGAAGAGTGCACCTGGTTGCACTGGGCCTCAGAACGAGACAGCTGGAGGTCATTCACAAAGGCCGCGGGATACACATTTGAGACCAAAAGAAAATCCGCTGCCGAGGACAGCCGCAGACGGGAAAAAAAAATCTTAATCGACCACCGGCGGCCCTGGAAGTGGCAAAATATGTAGGTCACAGCTGGGTCTGCGTAGCAACATTCCTCACTAATTTTCGGACTCGAATACAAGCCTTATTAGAAAGGGAGTATTTATTGTTAGTTGTAGAGAGGGAGCATTAATTTAATGTTAGTCTTGTACAATGATGCTAGATAGGCGCCGCTAGATAGGCGCCGCTGTCTTGTGCTGTGTTAAGCACTTAGGTCGAATACAAACTATACAATATTGTAACATATCTCAGGTTCTCTGTACCACACAACAGTGCACGACACCATCACCTTAAAGCACTTGACAACTCAGGGCTCCTAAATAACGCAACACTTTTATGTTCAATAAATCACAGCCAATGCTGTACAATTGTCAGCAACGTAACACAGACTATACAAAAGCTTCACACTCCGATGTATTAACCCTCCGCCTCTTCCTAGACTTGCACTTGATTCTCAGTTCCGGACCTACTTCACACTGACTGGTTCTTGACTCCGACTTCACACTGACTGGTTCTTGACTCCGACTTCACACTGACTGGTTCTTGACTCCGACTTCACACTGACTGGTTCTTGACTCCGACTTCACACTCACTGGTTCTTGACTCAGACTTCACACTCACTGGTTCTTGACTCAGACTTCACACTCACTGGTTCTTGACTCAGACTTCACACTCACTGGTTCTTGACTCAGACTTCACACTCACTGGTTCTTGACTCAGACTTCACAACTTCACGTGTGAAGTTACAAGTTAAGGTGAAGCCGCTTGACTCTGACATCTTCTCTCTCATATGGGGGTGCCTACTGGCCTTCTAGAACCGGACGGAACATCGCTCGACCACATCCCTCCTGACGCCGGCGCCTTCGAAATAGGTCACGGAGGTCACGACTATTCACATAAGAGGTCCTTCCCGAACTGTCTTGGCTGACCGTCGTAAATCGTCACGGTTGACCGCTCGTCCAGCGCAGGCCTGGGGCGATTGGCGTCGGCTGTCTACACACAGAACTACCCCCATCTGTGTCACCAGCAGGTTTATTACAATATTATATTGTTCACCCAAGTTAACCAATGATTTGCCGATAGCGCAAGATTTACACTAGTTTGGGGCCCCCAAAGAAATATTTAGCATTGACATATAATCTTTCTCCATTCCTCTCTGTCCTTTGCCTTGGATAGGATTTCATTCATACCATTCTTTGATATTGTCTTCCCATCGTTTTCTCCGTATTCCTCTTCTACCTGGTACTGTTCCCTGAAGGAAGGCCTTTGCTAGCCATTAGGACCTAGTGATGTGGTCATAGAGTTTGACTTTGCTTTTTTTTACAGTGATTAACAGGTCATCCTGGGGTCCAATTTAAGACATATATCTTGACTTATTAAGGACAACAAATGCCAAATAGGATAGGGCTTTTTTAAGGTTTGTCTTCGTGTCCGAACATTAAGAACTGCAATATTTCGTGTGGCTATGCAGTCCTATCTGTGATCTACCAAAATTTAATTATATTCAGTTCTTTAAAAGCTAGAAAAAAACATATAAAAGATGACACAACTTTGCGTCGTCTGCTAGCTTTCTCAAACATCGTAGACACTAGTTATGTCACGCATTCTTACCAAACACTTACCCTTAATTTTTTGTTGGTGGATGCGCCTAACGTATGATTGAAGTCCACACTGACGTGGATGGCATTTTGTCCATTGGAACACTGGTCAAGTTCGGATAATGGCGAACATGTCATATATCTGTAGATATAACAGAATGAAAATAGGGCTGAAACACAAGCATGCTTTAAAATGAAATTAATGGAACGCGATATTATGGTCCAAATAACCGTATCCAGGGACGCTGTGGCTGAAATACATGCATGATTATAAATGAAATTAATGGAACACGATATTATGGTCCAAATAACCGTATCCAGGGACGCTGTAGCTGAGTGCCTGAGAGCTTGGCTTCCGCACTAGTGAGGGCTGGGATATTGTACTTCTGGATTATTTATGGCGCCACCAAGTCCACCCAACTCTAATAGTTACGTGACATATGTTGGGGAAAGTATTATGGAGTGTATGGGCGTGTTTATGACCAAAGAAGGGCGGATGTTTTTGGTTGTGTAGGCTGAAGAGTATCTGATGAAACCACGAGATGATTTGTTGTAATTCAAGTTAATAACAAGAAAAAAACAAAAATACTTTTTTTTAAAAAGGTTATATTAAGCATGGGAGGGGGGTGTTCGGGGTTAAAAAAAAATTCCTCCCCCCCGAAAAAAATATTGGCTACGCCCATGATATTAAGTGTAATGGTATTGCTGTAAACTCTGCCTACAGCGAGCCCAAAGAACCTCAACGAAAGTGATAGATCAAAACAGCAATTTAATAATAGAATAATAGTCGGATAACAATTACGCATTAGAATAATAACTACACTTCTTAGTAATAACAACACTTGTTTACATCGGCCATCTTTGACTTCCACACTTATTTCATGTCTCTGTCCTGTGTCTCATGGTGCGCAGTCTCACACCTAATGAAAACGTGCATTGTAGAGTCATAACAGTATTAACTTTTTTTCTCCGTAATTATTTACCACATTCTAGTAAAATCAACGTTGGTATCGTCAGTTAGGAGAGAAAGAGTTAAATAGTTTGGATCAGTCATGTAATTATATGTATGAATGACCTAGACATAATAAATCTTTCAAATTCCCTGCTCGGACCTGAGACAAAGTATTGCCTCTGCCACCTATCGAGAGTGGCAGAACCGATTTGAGGCTGAGACTCACAATAAACTCAGGCAGATTGTGGCGGATGTCAGGTGGCGGCCCACATCTAAGGGTCTGACAAGGCGTGGTAGCACGACCATGTCCAGACTTAGGATTGGCCACACCTATATCACGCACTCTTTTGTGCTGAAGAGAGAGGAGCCCCCACTTTGTGATAACTGTGACTCTCGCCTCACCGTGGAATATATCCTCGTTGATTGC